GTGCCCCTCCAAGTTTTAGGTAGGAGTACTTGTTGGTGGCTTACGAGGAACTCACGGTAGCTCTGACAGATTATCACCAATGTAGGATTACCTTTGGTGTTGTATAATTAGTATTCGTCCTGCTAGATTGCACTTAGACTGCTTATGCTCTGGTTGTGCAATCACGCTTTATATCTCACTTGCACCTTAACTTATCTATTGCTCTAGTTGGTTTGGTTTTTGTTTATTCGTATTTCTTATATCAATTTTGCTTCCGCACTGTGCACATGGCTACGTCACCCTCATGTGACGGCCAGCATGCCTCGATCCAAGTCGGGGTGTGTCAGTTTGGTATCAGAGCCTAGGTTTGGCAGTCCTGCATATCTTGTGAATATTCTAATTATCTTGGTGTCTTCTATCAGAACTATACCGCCTCGTAGAGAGCCACGTCCTTCAGCTAAGTCTGGTTTCCCTGATATAGCTCAGTTAGGGGAAACTATGGCTAATACTATTCAGTCATCATTTCGCCCTCCCCAAATGACTCATCTGGAAACTGTGTATAATTTGAAGTTAAATCATTTCATGGGTAGTGAAAGGTCTGAAGGAGCAGAGAAATAGATTAATCATCTTGAAAAGACTTTCCATTTGATGCATAGGCAGAGGAATCTTCCGGAGGATAGGTAGGTTGAGACGACTACCTGGTTTTTAGGTGAGCAGCCTGCATCCTGGTGGAGACAGGAGTCTTATCAGTTGTCACCAGAGGAAGCTGCTGATTGTGAAGTTTTTAAGCAGCTATTTCATAAGAGATTCATTCCTCCAGAGTATATCGATCGCAAGAAACAAGAGTTTACAAATTTGAAGTAAGGTAAGATGACGGCTAATGAATACTACATGAGGTTTACTGATTTATCTCGCTATCACCCAGAGGTTGCTGTTAATCCGGTTGAGATGCTCCGTTGTTTTAGGTTGGGTACTCGGAAGAAGTGGCGTTCTATGGTGGCCACAGCTTCATATGCTACTTATCAAGAGTTTTATAAGGTTCTGCTGAGAATTGAAGATTAAGAGAATATGCCTAGTGAGTGAGGAGGAAGAGAATGATGGAAATCAAAAGAAAGATGATAAAGGTAAAGGTCAATCATCTTTGAGACATCACAAAACTCAGAGCTTTAAGAGAGGTGGAGCTAGTTCTAGTTATTCTAGCGGATGCATGAGTTCCACTGGTTAGAGAAGAGGTGGTAGATTTTCTGGAGGCCTTCGTTTTCAGAAACAGAGGGATTCTGGTGGCACAGGTGCACCTTTATGTCATAGGTGTAATAATCGACATTTTGGGGGAGTGTAGGCGAGGTAGTAGTGGATGTTATACCTGTGGTCAATTGGGACATAGGGCTATGCATTGTCCTCAGAATCAGCAGAGGCCCCAGCAGCCTTCCTTACCACCATCAGTGCCGATTCATCAAGTTTCAGGATCCAACAATTATGGTCAGACGGTTATTCTGCAGGGCAGTATCAGTACCCACAGGACCCGTATTAACGGATTGGTTATCCTCAGTATCCTGGAGGTTATATGCCATATCCGCCGTATTTAGCTGTGGATCTCAGTGGTATCCTGGAGGACAGTCCTAGCACGTGGAGGTTACTTCTAGTAGTGTGGGATCTTCAAGGCAGCCTGGTCAGCCAAGTCAGGGGCGAGGTGTGCAGGGGCGAAGTAATCAAGCTAGCAGAGGTTGTGGTGAAAGATAGCAAACCTAGAGACATATTCACCACATGACATTGCAGAATGCTCAAAATAATCCTGATTTGATCATGGGGACGTTGAATATTCTTGGTCATTTTGCTAGAGTATTAATTGATTGTGGTGCTACGCATTCTGTTATTTCTCATACGTTTGCTCAGTTGACACAACCTCATCCTACACCTCTAGGGTATGATTTAGAGTTTGCTATGCCTAGAGGGGAGAGATGTTATGTTAGTTGTGTATATCCAGGATATCTCGTGTTAGTGGATGATGTAGTTATGCTAGCTAATCTCATTCCATTAGACATTGTGGATTTTGATGTGATTTTGGGCACAGATTGGTTGCATTACAATTGTGCCAATATAGATTGCTACGGGAAATCAGTTACTTTTCATCGTCCTGAATTACCTGAGGTTACTTTTGTGGGCGAGTGTAGTAGGGTAAGGCATGGTGTTATTACTGCCATAAGAGCTAAAAAGTTATTACAGAAAGGTTATCAGGGATATTTGGCTCATGTAATGTTGAATGATAATGTTCCTAGCAGTGTGGAAGATGTGTGAGTAGTCAAGCATTTTCCTGACGTATTCCCTAATGATTTACCTAGATTGTCGCCAGACTAAGATGTGGAGTTCACTATTGATTTACTTCTAGGTACAGATCTTATATCTTTAACTCGTTATCCAATGGCTCTTGCTAAATTGAGGGAATTGAAGATTCAGTTGCAAGAATTAGTTGATAAGGAATTCAGCCTAGTACTTCATCCTGGGGAGCTCCGGTGTTATTTGTGAGGAAGAAAGATGCAACTTTGAGGCTATGTATTGATTATAGGAAATTAAATCGGGTAACGATTAAAAACCGTTATCCATTACTGCGTATAGATGATTTATTTGATCAGCTTCGAGGTGCCTGTGTGTTTTCTAAAATTGATTTGAGGTCTGGTTATTATCAATTGAAGATTAAAAGTGAAGATGTTCCTAAGATAGCTTTTAGGACTCGATATGGTCATTATGAGTTTCTTGTGATGTCATTCTGGTTAACTAATGCACCTGCAGCTTTTATGGATTTGATGAATCGAGTATTCCAGCAATATCTAGATAGGTTTGTCATTGTTTTTATTGATGATATTCTGGTGTACTCTAAGTCTAAATCAGAGCATGTTCGACATCTCACTTTGGTGTTGAAGAAATTAAGGGAACATCAGTTGTATGCTAAGTTTAGCAAATGCCAATTTTGGCTATATCAAGTGGCATTTGCTCAAGGTATTCAGGTGGATTCTCAAAAAGTGGCAGCTGTTGAAAATTGGGAGCAACCACGAACTGTCACTGAGTTACGGAGTTTTCTTGGCCTAGTTGGTTACTATCAACGGTTTGTTAAGGATTTTCAGTTATTGCATTACCACTGACGAGGTTAACCAGGAAGGATGTTAAGTTTGAGTGAGATGATAATTGTGAGCAGAGTTTTCAGCAGTTGAAGTATTGTCTCACTCATGCACCTGTTTTGGCTCTTCTTGATGATAGTGGTAATTTTGAGATCTACAATGATGCTTCCTTGAATGGTCTGGGATATGTGTTGATGCAGCATGGTAAGGTGATTGCTTATGCTTTGAGATAATTGAAACCTCATGAGATGAATTATCCTACTCATGATCTTGAGCTAGCTACTATCGTCTTTGCTTTGAAGATTTGAAGACATTATCTTTATGGCGAAAAATGTAAGATCTTTACAGATAATAAAAGTCTTCAGTATCTTTTCACTTAAAGGGATCTTAATTTTCGACAACAAATGTGGATTGAATTGCTCAGTGATTATGATTGTACGATTGAGTATCACCCTGGTCGTGCAAATGTAGTGGTGGATGCACTTAGTAGGAAGCCTCAAGCGAGAATTAATGTTTTGTACACTTGTCATGTTCCTTTTCTTGTGGATTTGAGGTCTGTTTGTACCATACTTGACCAGTCCCAAAACTACTAAGCACCGGTTAACGTTATACCATCAAGGACCCAGAAGAGTTTCCCTCAAACCAGGAGGCCAATCACAGCGCGACACGTGTCGACATCAGAAGTCAATCATAGCGCAACACGTGTCAACATTAGAAGCCAATCACAACACGACATGTGTCAAAGTCAGAATGAAACTAGAAACTCTCTTCTATAAATAGAGATCATTCTCTCACAATATTTCCTAATGTCATTTGTACTAAATCATTCACTAGTACTCACTAAATGAGAGCTTGAACCTATGTATTTGTGTAAACCCTTCACAATTAATGAGAACTCCTCTACTCCGTGGACGTAGCCAATCTTGGTAAACCACGTACATCTTCTGTTTGCTTCCCTATCTCTATCCATTTACATACTTATCCACACTAGTGACCGGAATCTAGCGAAGGTCACAAACTTAACACTTTCAGTTGTACCAAAGTCCTTCCTGATTTTGTGCATCAACATTTGGCACCGTATGTGGGAATCGACACGAAAAGTTATGTCGGTTCTCTCTCAATGTTTCACCTCCACCGTGAATCTGCAAAAACCCAACAACCCAAAGCTTTCCCAGAAAACCCACGGAGCCACCACATCTCCCACTCTAACTTCTCTGAGTCCACGGAAGCTGTTCTCAATCTTGTTTGCTATTTCTGTGGCAAACCTTGCCGATCCAAAACTGAAAGTGATTTGCACACCAAAAGAACCGGACCGAGTTCGCCCTCTGCTGTAAATCCCGCCGTCCAAAGGAAAGAACCAGCGAAGCGGCCCACCGTTAAGAAATCCTTCAAGCTTAGGCCTGGCTCTTTTGCATTGAGTGGGTCTTCTTCTAGCTTTTGAGGTCCGGTTTTCGAGTCCAAGGAGGAAAACTAATTTCACACCAGGACAAATTTGAGGTCCGGTCTTCGAGACCACCGATAAATTTGAGGCAGAGACTTGGACACGCTCTCCCTCTGCATGCATTTTTTTGCCCAACCTACCAGCCTCGGACACTCTACCAGGCACAGGTTTCCACAGGTCTCCAGTGCATAGAATCAGCTATATACAGGTCTCCGGACTCCCCGCCCATAATCCTAGCCCACAAAAAGTCCAAGAAGCCCATGAAATCCACATAATCTAAAATGTTTAAGCTGTTAGAAAATTGGGCCAACAACATATATAGATCAGCATCATCTTCCACGGAAGCCCCATCGTGCTTATAGAGATGCAAGTATAAATGCAGACAAGAAACACATGGTTGCAGCCCCATTTCTTACACCATACAATCCCACATTTCAAGCTTCAATCACGCTCTCAGAATCATAAAAATGGCGAACAGCAAGTCAGTGGTGGCGCTGATCAAGACAATGAAGCCGACCTTTCGCTCTAGCAACGACAACGACAAGGTCACCCTAGCCGTCCATGCCTACTTCTTGGCCTCCGGCTACGACCTCATCACCACTGGTCCCCACGCCTTTTCCCCTGTCGCCCTCAACTCTTCTTTCACAGATGAAGTGCGTATTAAGGGATGGAACGAGCTCGAAGACCAGTACGTATTCGTGTACGTGAACCTGGAAGAGGGTTCGAAGAAGGTCCGGGTCAAGTGCCTTGTGATGGAGGATGAACTGCATGTGTTTTGCGCTCTGGCTGATGGGTCTTCTAAGCATGTCGAATTAGACGTTGGGAATTATGTAGAGGAAACCGGGGGCGGAAATTACTCTAGACAGTTTAAGAATATGGAGTGGCTGGTGAAAATTCTCGACTCTTTGCACCCCTTGATCAAGAGGGCCCATGATCAGCCCTAGTGCCTCGACAAATTACAGGGAAGCTAGTGCAGATCAAAGATGCTCTGTATGCTGCAGACAACCTGCTGGATGAGATCAATGACCCATCCCCTGCATCTTCATTTTCTGAGAAAGCAAAGAAAAAGGGAAAAGAGAAAAGAAGAAAAGCAAAAGATCTTCCTATTATTATGATTCCTTCTGTCTACCAGGTGAAGAGATAGAGAGAGTGCATCAGAAAAACACAAGCAAAAGCAAGGAATAAACATCCACACTGCAAAAGCAAGGAATAAACACCCCACCAGAATGATGTGGTTTACTTTCCTTATTTTTTGAATGATGTAATTTATTTTTCATATCTTTCAGAAACATCTATATAAACCCCATCAGAGGGTAATAATAGTTAAAAATAAATAAATAAATAAAATTTACAAAGCCCAAAATAAATGGGTTGTAATGTTGTGTGGAGAGCGAAGGCCCATAAGCCCAAAATATCACCAACCAGGTGATCAAAAGTACGCCCAGTACTACAAAAAATTATTCGGCACCCCGTTGCTATTAGCACCAACCAGGTGATCAAAAATACGCCGAGTACTCCAAAATCATTTGGTAACCTGTCATTATTACCACCAACCAGGTGATTAAAAGTACGCCCAGTACTCCAAAATCATTCAGCAACCTGCCACTATTACCACCAACCAGGTGATCAAAAGTACGCCCAGTATTTCAAATTATACATGAGCATTACTCATGTCAATCATACATAAACATTCATGAGCATTACTCATATTAATCATACATAAACATTCATGAGCATCACTCCTGTCAACATCCATGAGCATCACTCATGTCATTTAACATAAACATTTATGAGCATCACTCATGTCAATCAGCTTCAAAAGCTTCATTTACAGAGCTCTAGCTTCAAAAGCTTCATTTACAAAAGCTCTAGCCTCAAAAGCTTCATTTACAGAGCTCCAACTTCAAAAGCTTCATTTACAAAAGCTCTAACTTCAAAGGCTTCATTTACAGAGCTCTAGCTTCAAAAGCTTTATTTACAAAAGCTCTAGCTTCAAAAACTTCATTTACAGAGCTCCAGCTTCAAAAGCTTCATTTACAAAAGCTCTAGCTTCAAAAGCTTCATTTACAAAGCTCCAGCTTCAAAGCTTCACTTACAAAGCTTCACCTACAAAGCTTCAATGCAGGGTATACAAATACCGTATCCGAACAACCGCCTCTTCGGCCCATACATGGATTCAATTTGAAGTCTCCAGCCAACAGACTCTATTGACCGAAAACTTGGGGGACTACATTATGTACCATATATTGGGCCTCAACAAGGCTTCATAAAAAATACTTGGGGGACTTAGCCCATTATTTATGTACTGAGGAGCGAGCCCTTATTTTATAAAAGGGACTCCCTCACCTTTATTAGAGAGCACCCATTATTCATGTACTGAAGAGCGAGCCCTTATTTTATAAAAAGAACTCTCTCACCTTCATTAAAGAGTATCACCGCCTACTGGGCAATCGCCTCGCCGCGAGCATCACTCATAACCCATCACTTATGTATTGAGGAGCGAGCCCTTAGTTTATAAAAGGGACTCCATCATCATCATTAGAAAGCATCGCCGCCTGTCGAACAACCGCCTCACCGCGAGCATCAACTCTAGCCCATCATTCATGTATCCTTATTTTATAAAAGGGACTCCCTCACCTTCAACGCCACAAGCCGAGCCAACCAAGGCAATATAAGCCACAAGCCGAGCAATCTCGCAACATGTGCTACTTCTAGTTGAGCATCATTTCAGATTGAGCACCATCTCATATCTAGCATCAGTTCAAGACAACATCTAGTTACTTCGGCCCAAACATGGATTGAGTTTCAAGTCTCCAGCCAAAAGACTCTCTTGACTGAAGACTTGGGGGACTACTGTTTATACCATACTTAGGGCCTCCATATTGAGATCTCGTACAAATACTCGAGGGACTTAAATGTAATTATGTAATAAAGAAAGGGGCAAATATGTAATAAGTGAGGAGCCCTTATTCTATAAAATGACTCATCACCCTTACAATTGGGGGATGCCATTTTCTTAGGCCATGGGAAGAGCTCTCTCACCCTCAGAAGCCCTCTCCCTCACTCATCTCTCTCTCTCTCTCAGAAATACAATATCAGTGTGGACGTAGCCCAAACCTTGGGGTGAACCACGACACATCTTGTGTTATTTACTTTCAAGCAGATTCACAGTCGGATTTATGTTGTTCCAAAACCCCTCCGGTTTTGTGCATTAACAAGGTCCACTGGAGTGAAGTTAGGAGTGGAGGAACGTGAGGAAGCCTGACTTGCTAATTTTCAGGTCAGGCCAATATTAGTTGATCGAGTACTCGAGGCTTAGATAAATGATGAAGAAACCCATAAATTAATTGAGGCAAAGAATGATGGGAAAAAGAAAGATCTAATGATTAGAGAATCGGATGACATGCTTATGCAAGAGGGAAGAATGTACGTGCTGAATAATATGGAATTAAAGAAAGAAATTTTGGATGAAGTGCACTGTTCGACTTATGCAATGCATCCTGGAGGTACTAAAATGTATCATACCATTCGACCATTTTATTATTGGCTGGGTATGAAAAGAGAAATTGCTGAGTATGTGAGTATATGTGCCATTTGTCAGCAAGTCAAAGCCAAAAGGAAAAAGCCATTTGGATTGATGCAGCCACTTCCTGTTCCAGAGTTGAAATGGGAAAACATTACCATGGATTTTTTGTACAAGCTTCCTCGTACACGAAATGGTTATGATGGCATTTGGGTGATAGTTGATCGGCTTACTAAATCAGCGCATTTTATTCCAGTGAAGGATAAATATTCTTTAAGCCGATTAGCTGAATTATTCATATCGAAGATTGTTAAGTACCATGGAGTTCTGGTTAGTATTATCTCAGATCAGGATCCTAGGTTTACTTCTAAATTCTGGGTGGCATTTCAGGAAGCTCTTGGTTCGAGATTACTCTATAGTACGACATATCGTCCTCAGACAGACAGACAAATTCAGACAATGGAGGATATGCTAAGATCTTCTGTTTTACAGTTTGGCGACGCCTGGCATCAACGATTAGATCTGATGGAGTTTGCATATAACAATAGCTACCATTCGAGTATTGGTATGTCACATTTTGAGGCACTTTATGGCAAATCTTTTTGTATACCTTTATGTTGGTTAGAGGTTGGTGAAAGAGTTTTAGTAGGCCCTGAAATTATGGATGAGACTACTTAGAATGTTCAGGTAATTAAGTCTAACCTGAAAGCGGCCAATGATCGACAGAAAAGTTTAGTAGACAAGCATGCCACTGACCGGGTGTATAAAATTGGCGATTGGGTGTTTCTGAAGTTGTCACCGTGGAAAGGTGTTGTACGGTTCGGGAAGAAAGGTAAGTTGAGTCCTAAGTACATCGGACCGTATCGGATCACCGAGGGAATTGGTGAAGTTGCTTACAAGCTTGAGTTGCCTCCAGAGTTGTCAAGTGCACGATGTGTTCCATGTTTCCATGCTTCGTCATTATGTTTCAGATCCATCACATGTGATACCTCCTTAACCATTGGAAATTAATCCATATTTGACTTATGATGAGGAACCATTGACGATTTTGGATTGGAAAGATAAGGTTTTGAGGAATAAGACCGTGCGCTTGGTGAAAGTTTTGTGGAGTAATCACCAGATGGAGGAAGCTACCTGGGGGACGGAAGAGCGTATGGAAGATATGTATCCATGCTTGTTTTATGGTTATTAGTGGTTTGTACATTATTGTGTGAAATTTCGGGATGAAATTTTTTAAGGAGGGTAAGATGTGACAACCTGTCCCGAAATATATTTTATTGATGGTGTGAAATGACTTTTATACCCTTGAATGTTAAATTGTGTATGTGTGTAAATGAGGTAAGGTTTGGACCAATTAGTTCTATTCCTAAGTAATTGGATCCAATTAGAACTAAAAAACTTAAGGTTTTGATCGATTGGCTGCAAACTGGACCCTACACACACCCAAACTCCCGTTGACTCTCTCTCTCCTCCCTCTCAAAATTTTCCATTTGTCCATACAACCCGTACGATCATCATTCAACCAACTTCATCCCTTACGGATCGATGTAGAAGATGTGGTTTTCATGTTCCTTGTGAGTCCAGGAAATGAACCATAGCTTTGGTTGGACGTGAGGATGTCGGGATCTCGAGAACCAAGAAGCTCTAAGGAGGTGCACAGTCGCTCAGTCGTGATTGCGGACTTTTCTTCGTGTTTTAAGGGTCTAGGGAGTTTTATAATTGCTTTATGAAGCTTTTAGAAGAATTTTGGAAGGTTTTGAACGTCGGGAAGCTCGAGTTTAGTGAGTTGTAGGGTGGCCTAATTCTCGTGACTTTTTCCAGCGAGTTTCCGTTGGTTTTAGGTCCCCAAAGTGGTAAGGTTTTGTTCCTCTCATCCTAAGCTTCAATTTGGTACAAATTTCGTGAATTTTGGTTGAGAAATGAAGAAGATATTGAAGTTCTAAGATTTTCTAGAAACCGGCGATCGCATTTCGTCAACTTTGACGAAATATGCTAACGGGGTCAGGTATAATTAACGGTATATGCTGATTTTTAACGGAATATTCCCTAACGCCGTTAGGGAACCCTTCAGTGTGCCAGACACGTGCCGACGCGTGAGGGTGCGTGGGTGCTCGAAATTGTTTTCTAAAAATATGGGGTTGTTCGTGAGGTTGAGTAGATCGTGTTAGAGCGTATTCGCACAGTCTTCATGTGACGATTAATGCGAATTGTAGGTGACCCGCGATTATTCGCACAGTCTTCACATGATCGTAGCACTAGAGCGTATTTATTTACACCCAGTCGTGTCATACAGACCACTATAGGTGGTTCCGATTTGACACACCCCGATCCTAGAATCAAGGCGTGCTGGCCATCACATGGGCGTGACGTAACCAAAAGTGCGATGCGGAAGCAATAGATAAGAGAAATACGAATAAATAAAAACCAAATACTAGCAATAATAACAAGTAACGCTTAAACTTGCTCTAGCAGCGTTACTTGTTATTATTGGTAGTATTTGGTTTTTATTTATTCGTATTTCTCTTATCTATTGCTTCCGCGTCGCACTTTTGATTACGTCACGCCCACGTGACGGCCAGTACGCCTTGATTCTAGGATCGGGGTGTGTCACGACTCGTGTGCATGCATACTTGTGGAGTTATAGATTCAGCCGTACAGGCCACTTGAGGTGGATTTGACTGATGTGTTATTTCTCATGAGTTATTTCACCTGAGTTACTTATTCTGTCATTTTGAGATATTTGGCATGGCATACTTATGAATATCATTTTCTGAGCATGGTTTTGTGATATGTTTATATATTCTATTTTTTGGGAAATTATACAGGTTTTACGGCGATGGGTTAAAATTTTGATAAATGAAATGGTTTTGAAAAGCTTTGTTTTTACCCACTCATACTTTCTGTTTTGCGCCCCTCCAGGTTTTAGGTAGGAGTGTTTGTTGGTGGCTTACGAGGAACTCACGATAGCTCTGACAGATTATCACCAACGTAGGATTACCTTTGGGTGTTGTATAATTAGTATTCGTCCTGCTGGACTGCACTTAGAATGCTTATGCTCTGGTTGTGCAATCACGCTTTATATCGCACTTGCACATTATCTTATCTATTGCTCTAGTTTGTTTGGTTTTTGTTTATTCGTATTTCTTATATCAATTTTGCTTCCGCACTTTGCACATGACTACGTCACCCTCACGTGACGGCCATCATGCCTCGATCCAAGTCGGGGTGTGTCATATTGTACCATAATGTTTGGTAGATTCTTCAAACCTAAACACAAGTACATTCTGCAAAATCACACACCAAAAATACTAATTAGGCTTAATAATGTTAATAATATTTTTAATAAACTTAGCATGGATACATTCTCTAATCTACAAAAAAAGAATGTACCCTTATAAGTTCAAAAAATGGATTAGGAAAAAAGTGAATGAATTTTTACATTTAAAAATGGGTATATTTTACATTTAAAAAAATTTGATATATCTTACTATTTACCCTAAAAATTACAACACCAACGTGGTGTGTAGGCTAAGTAACTATGAATGCTGTCGTGCAAAATCGCAATCGAGCTTCGTCCGGTGAGTATAATAGATGTGGTGGTGGTTGTGTCTAACCCACTGTTGACTTCTACACTCGACCGATTTCCAAGATAAACAACTTTGCCAAGGTAGAGTCATAATGAGACTGTGTTTGCTCGGCATTTACCTGAATATTCTCCCTTTATCACTTGAATTTCATTTTAGCCAAGACTTCATCTTCATACAGTCTCGGCCTCTTTAATTCCAACAAAAATTCTGAACTTTATCCTTTTATGGGAATGAATTAATCTTATCTGATCAAGAATGAATTCTGATCCTAAAAATAATTCGCATCTAATCAAGGCTCATTCTGATCCTTGAAAATTTCCATTTGCCTAAGACTCGACCGAGGCACATCTGAACTTAATCCTTTCGCAATCCTACTTTTATGAGGACGCGGTCAAATCAACCATTTCCTGGGTTGAAAGCCCACTGGCCTGAGGGATCTTTACTAGGCCTAGGATTGTGGCTTTTCAACTCGAGTTAGCCAATTCTTAGTCTAAGCTGTTATTTCATGCCCAAAAACTTATATATAACAAATTGGTATATTTAAGAATGAGTACGTTTAAGATTAAAAAATTGAGCAAGTGACCCTTTACCACAATGGTAGAAATGTGTCGTGCCCTTGCATGATGACATGGGTCAAACTCTATCGGTGACTAGTTTAACATCTAATCGAACAAAAACTATCATTTGAAAAAAAAAAATTAAAAAATTGAAAATGTTTTATATAAAATTAATGAGTACAAACTTATTTTAATTTTTTATATTTAGGAAATGTTTTAAACTAAAAATTAAATAGTAGATTAATGACGGTGTGAGTATTAAAACCATATTATCAATTACCAATTTTTATTTAAAAATAAATTATGTAACTAACATGACATGTAAATTCATTAATACATTAAGATTAAAGACTTTTTAGCAAAATTTGAAAACCAATCAGATCCAATCAAAGATTATTAATAGTTAGGAACCGAATAGTAATTTTACCCAAATTTAGTGTTGTTTTCAACTATCAATCATATCAACAAGAAGAACAATAACATTGACAAACAGAGCATGTTTATTTTTTATACTATACGATGTAATATGTTAAATTACTTAAAAGACTGTAAGGCTGGCGTAAAAAATAATAGAACTCATGTTATATCATATGTAATTATTAATTTGCCAATAGCTCTTATTTTTGTTCAATATTAGTGAGAGGGTTAGAATGATATTTTCTGGAGTTTTGGCTGACTAAAAGTGTTCTATTAGTAAGTAGGTTAGACATAACAAAATACGTAGACATAGTAATGCACTTTTAGCCAATTTAACGGATTACGTGATGAAAATGAATCACACATTAACTCTTCATATTGTTAACTTGTTATGCGACTATTAAAATTTTTGTAATTTGAACCGTTGTTGTTATTATAGTATAATTTTCATATACAAGATATAGTAGTAACTAAACTAATTTAAATTACGAAAAAGAATATTCAAACTTGAGTGCATATAAAAGAGTAACTTTCTATTATTATTATTATGAATAACTTTGGTAATAACTAGGATTTTCCCCAATCAAAATTAAAATATCACAATTTACAAGAATATTTGTTTTTATTTTCTCCTTATTGAAAAGAATAATGTTAGGCATATCAAATTTTTGCACCAAATAATTTTCCACCAATCAAAATTTTATTTGAATTCAAGTTGAAATTGATTAACAATTTAATAAAAAATTTATATGATAAAGAACGTGTTACATCATTTGGTGCATGGATTTGGTGTACGTAACATCAACCAAAAATGCAAATTTTGTTTACCAAGGCCCAAAAATTAAATATGCCGATGATATGCTCCACCGCTCGTAATAGTCCACATTTATGGCTATGAGTAAACTGCCGATTTGCCCCCTGAACTATCACCCAACTTTCGATTTGCCCCCTGAACTTTTTAATTGGAAAATTAAGGACTTAAACTAATTTTTTTGGCCAATTTGCCCCCTGCTGTTAATTTTTCATTCATTCCATCCAAATTTCTGTTAAATGGAAGCATATGCACAACATGTGTGGGTAGTTCGGTCACTTCATTCTTTAAAATAATTGAAAACTTTAAATTTCTAAAATATAAACCTATGCAAATATGTGTGATTCTATAGCTTTTCTGTCTGAAGGTCTAGTGAAATGACGCTTTTGTCCACAAATGAGAGTTACGTGGTTTGCACATGATAAGAGTTAACGTTAATTTGGATGAAATTTATGAAAAACTAACGATAGGGGGGAAATTGGCAAAAAAAAATTAGTTTAAGTCCTTAATTTTCTAATCAAAAAGTTCAGACGGCAAATCGAAAGTTGGGTGATAGTTCAGGGGGCAAATCGGCAGTTTACTCTTATGGCTATTGTAGCTCAAGGGCCATTTACCCGAATAAAAATAAAATAAAATAAAACCGACAAACAAACGCCACAGGTCGAGTAGGACCCATCCACATCATCACACTTAAAAGTGGACCCCACCATCTTAACTACCTGAACTCCATAAGTAAAAGTGAAAGAAAAAGGGTGTGGAGCAGGTTCCTGCTGCTGCTGGGTACTTGATAGCAGAGAAGAGCCCGAGAAAAACAGTCACAGAGGAAGAAATCTTACCAGGTATTCTGTTGCTTTTGATAATTTCTATTTTTTGTAGCTACCCTGTTGCATGTTTAACTTGGAGCTGCTGTATTTACCATTTTTTTTTCTATTTAATTGTTATTTGTTCATTCAGTTTTGAATAATTATATGGATAGATAGGGTTACAAGTTGTTGAATTGCTTCTAAATGGAGCTAAATAGAGGTCAGTTCATTTACCTTTTGAATAATTATATTTTTGTGTTCGTCATGCTTCTCTAGCTTCTTCTCCCTTGCTGTTTCAGATAATTTCAGTTAAATTTGAATTGGATTTGTAGTGAAGGGTCTCTGCAAAATTGCTGATGGATTGAACTTATGTAAAGAGAAATGGACCAATAAAAATGCAGATTTTCTTTTGAGGAATACAAATTCTAGATTTTTTAAAGCATTTTCATTTAATTGGAGCAAATTAAATGCCGTTAGGGTTTATATAGGAACTCAATCTCTCCTAAATGCTATAATTTTTGTGAGCAATATCTTATAAGAATGGTTAATTGAATTGCATTTGATTTTACGTCTATAGGTCGAAATTCGTGAACTAAATTTGCATCAATCTCTTATGGAACTAGCACTTTGTTCTCCATTGTTCCCTTCAAATGCAACAAGAGGTGTCAATAAGATTAAGCCTTATAGCTCCATGCTCATTGCCTCACAAAAGTTGTCCGCCCAGAAATCGTTTCCATGTCTCGCAGCTGTTGCTACCCAAGCAGCCCAGGTTACTTTTCTCATTTCTCATCTTACTTTCTTCTTGAAATATTTTCACTCAATTCATTTTTTTTTTATCAAATAATTTTTTTGATCTTTATCAATGCCAGACGGTGGAGCTTGAGGTAGAGAGCAAGAAACATGAGCTGTTGAGAGCTATACAAGACACCGAAAGGGGCCTTGTTACAACCGATGATCAACGCTCATTTATAGAGGAGGCTCTGGTGTGGTCTCTTTATTTTCATTACATGAATTTTGTTACTATATGTCTCTTTTCTGTCGAATAATCTCGTTCATGAAATTGCATTAACATACATCAGGTACATGCTATGTAGTTGATGGTTTCGGAATATCCAAGTTCATAGAAGTGGGATTTTTGTTATAATAACTTGTGTAAAAGCCTGCCAGGTGAGTGTGGAGGGCTATAACATGGGTGCACCAATAGACTTGGTGAAATTGGATGGGACGTGGCGTTTGCAATATACTTCCGCTTCTGACGTTCTCATTCTTCTGGAAGCGGCTGAAAGGCTACCATTTTTTCAGGTATAAACAACGAATGTCACATTGTGGAATCTTATCATCTTCTAAAATAGCTTAACATGCTTTTTTACCTAAACAAAAGAAAATAATCCGTTTATGTTAAACCACTGAGCTTTTGGTCCCCTTCGCATTGTTTTATATTCTTTGAATATTCTGATTCTTCAATTACCTTAATCTTCTTGCTTTCATCTGTTCATAATAAATGGTAATCTTTCGATGAATGTATTGGCTAAAATCCTTTCTACCTGAACAACTTTTCAATTTACGGGTCACACTTCATATTCACAAAACTTAATGTCTTTACATTTTTAACACTTTTCAGTTGTGATTGTAAAACGCCAACCATAGTTGACTTGCCTTTTCTTTTATATCTTTATAGTTATTGATTTCTTTTGTTGTCCTTCATCCTCCCTTATTTCAACATGAATGTGGGGATAGGTTGGGCAAATTTTTCAGAAATTTGAATGCAAAGACCAGACCAACGGGGGAGTGATCCGTAATGTTGTCAGATGGAGCATTCCACCTTTGTTAGAGGTAATGAGTATTCTGAGTTCTTAGTTAGAAAATTTTGTTACTTAGATTGTTCAGGGGTATGATCTAGTTTCTTAAATCATGTTGTTTCGTTGTATTCGGTATGACTATAATTAATGTATTTTGGGTTATGCTTGTACATCCTGATTTTAATTCAAATTGCTTATGATTTTTTGCATTTGATCAGCAAAAGATACTATAGAATATAGATAAGATCAGATTATTTAATTTTACCAAGTATAGAAGATAATATAAAATCTAAAAAGGTTGCTCATATAAATATATGTACATGTATGTAGTTGTAGGTTGTAGGAATGCTTCTGTTTTCTCCATGAAACGCAAACGTTAAATTTGTATAGATTATATGAGTTCTATGCCCCTTGCAGGAACAAGAAGGTGCGACTCTGCTAGTTTCTGCAAAATTTTCGGTTGTTTCTGTGCGTAACATCTACCTTCAGTTCAAAGAGGTCAGTTTACTACCCTCTTCTGAAGTTTTAACCAAGGCTGCAAGCTGGTCATGAATATAATTGTGTCTTCTGAACTTTCATATTGCTTTACATCGTCTTTTACAATTTTCTAAACACGCAAACTTCTCGATGCTCTTCTTAAAATTAATTATCTGAATTCTGCAAGTTGTATTTGGCAGATTAATGTTCAAGATATTAAAATCAGTGAAGAGCTGCAGGCTCTAATAGCTCCAGCAATATTGCCACGATCGTTTTTAAGTTTACAGGTCAATTAATGTCACTTATCAAATTAGTGAAGAGCTGCAGGCTCTAAGGCAACTCTACTTTTTCTTTTTCGTCTATAATAACGAGGATTATATGAATTCTGTTGTGCAGATCTTGCAGTACCTCCGGACTTTCAAAGCGCAAATTCCCGTTAGAGATCCAGGAAGGTACATCATTCTTAATCATATTTATCAAAGCACATTTAGCAAGCTTCCTGAATATACATTAGTATGATCATATACTTTGTTTAAAACAGTAGGCAATCGGTCGGAGGACTATATTACCTTTCTTACTTGGACGCTAATATGCTTTTGGGGCGCGCGGTTGGTGGCGGAGGAGTTTTTGTTTTCACGAAAGCTCAACCTCTGAAGTAATGGGGAAAGCTAGTAAAACCAATTACCGGCGCCTATTTTTTTGGTGTGAAGAAAAGCTTCGAAGGTGGTATGTGGCTGATGAGATTACGGTTTAGCTCAACAAATATCATAAGACTATTGTCTATTTCTTCCATGAGCAGTAATGTTTACCAGGTACATTCTTGTGAACCTTGCTCCCTCTCCCTTGTGGAAAACTGAAGAATACAGAGGCCTTTCGTCCTGTTTTCGGTTTCATTGTCCCGGCATGATTGATTCATACGTTTGGGTTAGTTGGAACAATGAAATTTGTCGATCCATTAGCAAACCATCCTCACAAAGCAAAGCACTTCTACTTAGTTTCCCAAAAAAAAAAAAAAAAAAAATAGCACTTCTACTTTTCTTCACTCACTCACCAATGGATCGGCTTCCGCCATCTTTCTCTTTCGGAGGTTACGGGGACAGACCAGGACGATCGATACGTTGGCGAGAGAAAATTCGCGGCCGAGGGTCACCAAGTGTCCGGAGGTTACGGGGACAAAGACTAGGAAAATCAATACGGGCGGCGAGAGAAAATCCGCAACCGCAGATCACCACGAGAAGCTGGGACATGCGGCACCGAGGACGAGCGAGCTGATGTCAAGGGCAAAGAATCAAAGATTGTGAATACCATATACAAGTCTAATTCAATCCTTGGTTTCTTTTTTATTTTATTTTAATAGTTGAGTTATTTGCATGAGTAAGCCTTTGTTAGTTAACTGCAAAATGATCCCAGAAAAAACATTTGAAAGGGGCTGCTGCCGGGCTACGATCAGTATTTGCTGCCCTACTATCGTAACAATTCTAGCGACCTAAGCTTGTGACAAAGGAGAGGCCCAGAGGGGAAGAGATGATTAGTATTACTACAGGGCAATTAGGACTTTTTACATTGGTTTTTGGTTTGAATTACAAGAAATTACAAATTTTGGCTAAAATTCAATTCATGGTTTTAAAATCGGTTATTTTGCAAACTTTCCCTCTAATTAATGAGTGAAAAGTTTTATGTTCAAAAACTCATGATAGTTCGATATCGATTTGTTTTTTCACTCTTTGATCCCTAGGTGTCCGTTTGACTAAGATTGTTATGGACCGTTTAGATGGGATGTTACAATGATACAATATTTGTGCTATCAGAGATATTTGAATTTCAAATACAAGGAAACAGACGCATATCCCATTTTAGTTCTTGTTTACTTTTTATTTTATTTTATTTTATTTATAAACTGAAACTTTATTTGATAATTAATTTGGTAATCATTTTCAATCAAAAACTGAAAAAAGTTTTTTTTAGGGGTCGTTTGATAACGATTTTGTTTTCAATTTTCAGTTTCTAGTTTTCACAGTTTGGTAACTATTTTCATTTTTCAAATTCGCCTTTGGCGAGAATCAAACCTAAGACCTCTCACTTACAAATGAAGAGGAATACAACTAGACTGTATTACTAAGTGGTAGTATGGTTAAAATTTTTAAGTTGGTTGCTTATAGTTTTGTCACCCTTGGAGCCATATCCCAGCTTCATTCTTGTGGAGTGACAGCGAATTCTAGTCACCTTGGTTCTGTATAATTTGGTTGATGACTTAGGAGAATAAGGAGTAGGATATGTCTGATTATTGAACGAAGCCCTTTCAGATTTAGAGCCTCATTGGCGTAATACCATTGAGTGCCCACTATAGCCTATTTATTTCCCTAGGACCTTGTGCTCTACGGGTTGTAAGATGGCGTTCATCCACTACCCCTTCGACATTATTTGGAACCCTTAAAAGATATATGTGGTCATGTTCCATTAGCTTGAATGGCGGTGGTTGAGTTTCAAAGCCATTGTCAAGCAACATTGATGCAATTGAGTTATTGTTCTTGGACCACATTAGCTTTGTCAACTTCCTTTAATGTAAACACAAGACAAGCGTGTTAAATTAACATTTGTAATCAAAAGCATTTCTATTGAATTCTACAATTAATTTGCTAGTAAGGAGAGATGTGTATTGGACATATTATCAACATATCTGATAATCCTATCACTTGTATAGACTAATTAGAATTCTTACCTGAAGAAGACATGGGCTCAAATTCACAGCAATTCTTCTACTCACTCAAGCCCTTAATATTCTTATGGTGATAGAACCCTGTATCGAAGAATGAATGCTTTGTGAGCAGGAAATTACACATATATTGAAAACAATGACAGCCAACTCCCATCTATCGTGGGGTGTTGGTTATGGTCCCACTGTATCAACAACTGAAAGTAGTGGAGTATTGACGAGGTCTGATTCAAAGCATGATGAATGTGTTTCTATGAATATATGAGATCAATTTATCCACGTATTTAACTCTTAATGAAAAATACCAACATATTTCTTAACCTTTATCACAACAAGTTGAGTCCACGTAGGATTCTTACATTCTCCCACATGGACGTTAACTAGGTGTGATTTAAAAGATGTATGTCAATGCCAATTAATTCCTTAGTGATCATAGAGAGTTTTCGTCACTAATCATCACATACACATTTGCCAATATCCATTAGAAACTTGAACTCTAGGAAATAATACACGTAAAACTACTGCTTCACTCTAAAATCACAAGTTTTAAGTTTATATCACATAATGCAAGTGAAACTGGATTTATACACATTCTATATTTGTTCACTTTACTCCTCCCACATATTATCCAAATCCCTTTCATTGATTGAACTTAGAATGCTCAATTTCAAACTACTGATTCAATACCATTTCAAGTCCCTGCATTATAAAATTCAATCAACATGCTCTTTGGAACAAGGATTAGACATTTTATAGCATGCTAATAATTAAGAAAAACTTATACTTGCAATGTCAGTGATGAACTTGAAATAACCTGAATTGAACAGCAATTCGTGAGTACTCTACACTTTTACTCTCACACTTCTGCCGAGAAAAGCCCATCATGCACTCCTATAGTCGAAACTCGATCGTTGAAAATTCCCACAACATGTGGCTTAGTCAAGGGGTTTGCAAGCATCAGTCTTGTATCAACATGCTCAATTTTGATTTCCCCTTTCTTCACATGTTCATTCACTGACAAATATTTGACATCCATCAATCAAGTGGCCTCAGATTTCTTGTTGTTTGTTGAAAGAATAAGGCTGCTTTGTTGTCACAATGTATGGTTAGTGGTCTTTGAATGGTGTCCACTATTCTCATAAATGTTATGAGATTTTTTAGCCATAGACCTTTCTTAGTTGCCTCAAACAAACTATAAATTCATCTTCCATGGTCAATGTAGACAGGGCCTTTTGCTTGGCACTTCTCCATGATTCTGCAGCTCCTGCAAAAAAAAAAAAAAATATCCACTCGTTGATCTTCTATCATCAACGCAACCTGCGAAGCCGGAGTTTTAAGTATCCCACAAGCTCCAAGTCTTGCACCCTTTTGTATGTTAGCATGAATGAATTAGTCCTCTACAAGTATCTCAGCACATTTTTGCAGCAACCCAATGTTGTTCCCCAGGAATTGACTGAAACCTTCCTAATACACTAATCGCAAAAGCAATGTCCGGTCTCGTACAAACTTGAGCATACATTATACTTCCAACCAATGATGCATAGGGTTTGGTTGTTATACCTTGCTTTTCGAGATCATTCTTGGGACACTACGACTTGTTCAACCTATATCCTTTCCCCATTGGCACATCACCATTCAAACACCCATGCATATTAAATCGTTGAAGCACCTTCTCTATGTATGATTTCTGCGAGAGTCCAAGCATCCCTTTAGCTCTATCTCATGATTTCTATCCCAATGACAACAAACGCATTTCTCATGTCTTTCATCTCAAAAGTTTTAGATAGCAAAGCTTTTGTTTCCATCAATAGGTTCATACAATTGCTTGCTAGAAGAATATCATCCATATACAATATGAGAAAAATGTACCTTGAGCCACAGATCTTCAAGTATATACAATTATCTATTTTATTCTCATTAAACCCAAAAGCAGTTACTTTCTCGTCGAACTTAAGAAACCACTACCTCAATGACTGCTTTAATCCATATATGGATTTGCTCAATTTGCAAACCATTCATTCTTCTCCTTCTTTCATGAAACCAAATGGTTGCTCCATATATATTTCCTCATCCAAATCGCCATTAAGAAAGACCGTTTTGACGTCCATTTGGTGAAGTTCAAGATCATAGTGGGCCACCAATGCAAGGATAATTAGCAGGTTGTCTTTTGTTGAGACTGGAGAAAATGTCTTACTGTAATCAACCCCTTTAGCTTGAGTGAATTCTTTACCCACTAATCTTGCATGTTGAATCCTTCTTCGTTTTTTAAGATCCATTTACACCCTATTGCCGTTGCGTTCTGTGGTGCTCGTACTAGGGTCCAAACTCCATTAACTTTCATAAAGTTCATTTCTTCCACCATGACATTTCTCTATAACTCTGATTGTTCAGATTGCATGGCTTGACCAAATGTTGCTAGATCCTTAATCATTCCCTCAGTTATCTCAATCTCTTGATAATAAACAAAATAATCATCGGGAACCGTTGATCTTCTTATTCTTGGTGTCAACGTTCTTCTCTCAAGAATGTCTTATTGCTTAAGTGACATGTTTTCTGCTTGCGATGAAGAACCTGTTATTTCCATTGCTTGATTATCACTGACTACATGAATGTCATCTTCTAATGGCAACTCATTCAATACTTGTTGCACTAGTAGAGTTTCTTGATTACGCTATAAGTCATCGAAATTAATTGCTTGACCACCAAATGGTCCATCAACACTTCCTTTTGGCAACACCACCCCGATTTATTCAAACCATGAACTTGATCTCTCCCTATTTGAACTCAATGAATTATCATCTTCCTTAATAAACTTTGATAAGCCAGTCTCGAAAATTCTGAGAGGAAGATTTGGAGAATAAAACCTATATCCCTTAGACTTGTTAGGGAGCCCCACAAAATTACACAAGATAGTTCTTGGATCAAGTTTTTTCTCCATGGGATTATACATTCTTACTTCTGCACGACAACCCCAAACATGCAAATAATTTAAGCTAGGCGTACGTCCAGTCCATAGGTCAAACGAAGTTTTGTTCATTGCTTTAAAAGGAACACAGTTTAAGATATGGTTTGCCATTTTCAAAGCTTCACCCCACAAGAATTGTGGTAGTGTAGAGTTAGCCATCATGCTTCTAACCATCTCATTAAGCGTTCTATTTCGCCTTTCTGTGACGCCGTTTTGTTGTGGCGTGCCTGAGTTTGTATATTGTGCTTTTATTCCACATTGCTCCAGAAATAATGCCAATGACCTCTTAACTTGACCTGCCTCAGTATACCTGCCATAATATTCTCCTCCTCTATCCGACCTTAACACTTTGATTTTTAAATCTAATTCATTCTTTACTTTAGTTTTAAAAACTTTAAAACAATTCAAAACTGAAGATTTTTCCGAGATCAAATAAAGATATGCAAATCGTGAATAGTCATCTATAAATGTCACAAAGTATATATTTCCATAAAGAGTTTTAGTAGGAAAGGATCCACAAATATCGGTATGGATTATCTCTAAAAGCTTTAGACTCCTTGTTGAACCCTTCTTTATTTTTGTCAATTTTCCTTTAAAACAAGGGAGTTTTAACGAAAAGCCCACGGTACTGTTCACTTTAACGAAAAACCACATTTTAACACTAA